CGTTGCTTCAGGTTCCCTGGGCCCCTATTAAGCACAGAGATATTCAATACAGGGTGAGTTTCAACTCAAATTCACTGTGTCCCTCATCTAATCAAAAGAATTAATGGAAAACTCACCACTTTGTCAGCCGGGCTGTAAAGCTGAGTATTATCCCCATTTACAGCAATATAAAAATAACTCCTTTGAAACCATACCCACTCAGTTTCTCCTTATATGCTAATGAATGTCACAATTTCAGAGCCTGAGGAGAGATTTCTGGTACAACATTTCCCTGCCTTAACATTGCACCTGTTCCCAGCTCCAATTGCCAGGTTACAAACACAAATTAACCTTAGTTCCAAATTGGTTCCATTCCATATTGCTAAGTCCCTGGGGAGGACAATTTACATCTGTGACTTGCTTCAAGACTTTGAAATAGTTAGCATTAAAAATTCTAACTTCATCCCCAGACGTTTGTCAAACTTAAGATATGTATTGTCACCACTACTAATAATCAGACCCCAAACCAACCTTTCTATTGACACAATTGTTACCCTTTCTTCATTTATAAAACTGGATAATTTCAATACATTTTGTAGTCACACTGATACCTAATACAATGTCTTGAAGTAACGAACTGTAACTAAGCACACCGCGACATTACGGCAACTGGTTGGTTAATAAACCCAAACCCAACCACTTATCTTTGTTATGGTTTTTAATTAATGTCATATGCTGTATGAAGCAAGACACTGTTTTTGTGTTTGATTCAACTTTTGGGCTTTGTCTCTCTGTTTTAATCAGCCTACGACAATGCAGGTGTGCTATCATGAAAGCAAATGAAGCCAAAGAGACCAAAAGGAGTTGGGAGGAAAAAAAAAAATGAATGCACGTGAGAGCCCCAACACCTACGCACCCTTGCTTTTACCAGCTGTAGGCTTGGCTCTCAGTGTTTTAGAACCCTAGCAAAATAAGGAGATTGCCACCATTTATGATTTTTCACTGTATAAGATGCTTTGTTGCTTGCTAATAGGAAACATTAATAAGAAAACACAGAAGCATTTTGAAGAGAAGAAACAGAATCCCAGATGAGGATGCCCTTATTGAAGAAGGAAGAAGCTCCGGAGACTGCAGGGGCAGCAAAGAGAGAAGTTCAGAGATCCCAGCAGGTAAAGAGGTAAGTCCAGGATGGCAAGAAGCTACCAATACAAGAAAGCTAAACAGAAAAGACTGCTTTTACTCAGTGCCTGGGGTCATTGCTTCAAGACATACCAAAGCTTTCTTTTATCTACACAATGCTTCCCTGAACCCTGTGCTTTCTAGAACTAAGCATGCCGAGAATAAAGTCACAGAAAGCAGACACCTTTGACCTGTAACAGGCAACAGGAAGAAAAGAATGGAGACCTGGTTTGCTTTCAGGGGGTCACACCTGAGTCGAGGATAGGTATCAGTGGAAGCATATGCAGTTATATAAATGCTGAGTTCGAGCTGTCTCTGAAGTCAAAGAGCAAGCCTTTAGAGACACATTGAATGTCTTGCCAGTCTTGCAGAGAAGGGAGAACCAGTGAGTTACCCTTCCTAACTCTAAGGAGAGCTAGGAAGAACAGCTGCTGTAAATTAGATACACTGCTTCCTTTTTCTCCAGCCCTCCTCAGGAAAGAAGACAGTTGTCTACCCTAAAGCCCCCCAAAGAGACACAGGGGCCAAAACTCCTTGAATTCCGTATCAAATTGTTTAGAAAAAGCTGCAAGATGACTGTGAAACTTGTGAGACACTAGTCATGGAAGGAAGAAAAGGTCAGAACTCGCTCTCCAGTCCTGACTCACTGCGGTGTTCATCGTGACTCAGGCCACCCTACAATCCTGCTCTTGTCGGAGAGCCTTCGGGAGAAAGCAGCTGCACTGCAGTTCATGCCTCCACAAACAAGATCTAGTGTTTATCTTCTTACTCTTCTTATAACGCACAAAGAGTGTAGCTCACTGTCTATCTCACTATAAGGCTTCTTTTACATTCCTCACGTCTTTGCCCATTTTAAAACATGGCCCTCTACCATTGTGGCCATAACTTTTTAAACGTCATGATAGCTGGTCCCAAATTAGCTCTGATTATGTTTACCAGGGTTAGTACCCGATGCTGCTAGCCGAGAACTCTGGCAGATAGATGATAGCAAAGACCAAGCCATAGAAGCAGGTTCAGTTCGAGCAAATGAACAAAAGCTGAAGCGGTCAATATGGTTTGACAAACTGGAAGACTTTATATTTAGCTCTAAATTCCACCAAAGAGGTCTCGTCCCTTCAGGTTTTGTAAGAGTTGATTAGAGTTCCTCAATCTTAACCATCCATGAATGTGAGAATTATTTCCACAATTTCTCTCAAAATGTTTGCAGTGTCACCCCTCTCTGATTCTTCGGGGTGTTCCTTTTTGATTACTCATTCACTTTTCCAAACTATATTTCCATATTTACCTGGGCAGAAATGTAACTGCAGGTCTCTCTTTAGCTTACACACACACACCATAAACTCCTTGACCAAACCATTATAGGATAAAAGAAAACAGAGTAGTTCATGACCCTGAGCATAAATAACCTTTATTTGTTAATTGACATACGCTGTAAAGTAGATAATAATGATGTCTATGACAATAATGATATGTAGCTCCTAGAATTGTTTAAGTATTAGATGGAGTGACACAAATCAATATTATAGCTCGCAATGATCTCACAATCAAACAATACAAACATTTAACACCCAATTTCCTGCAAGTTAATGTTGTTGAAAGATTAAGTCCTAGGAGACTTCAATACACATACCACTGTGAAGTGTGTGTGTGTGTATGAGAGAGAAAGAGAGAGAGAGAGAGAGAGAGAGAGAGAGAGAGAGAGAGAGAGAGAGATCAGTGAGGGTATACACATTCACTAATATGTATATCTAATCTCAATGTCTGTTAGAGCTGCAAGACCATCAGTTGTTAAGCCACATCCCATCTGAGCACAGATGTTCTTTTTCTTCTATCTTTCTCTCTCCCTCACCGGTTTTCCTCTGTCAGAACAAGTAAAAGAATTCCTGTCTTGGGCCAGAGCCTAGAGTTTTCAGCACTCACCTCATTATGTATTTGCTTTCCATTTGAAGACAGCAATTGAAAAGGGGTAAAATTTACTCCATCTAGTTACACCTAGAACATTCTAGAATATCATCATTTATACTGAACCCTTGTGATTATTTATGTTAATTTATTAATAATAATTTTCTTTACATAAACTCACTTTCAAATTTAAATATATTTATATAAAAGGAAATTCATTTTACTGTCTGTAATAATAAAAATCACCTAAGTTCGTTGTAAATTACTAATGACATATGTATCACAATTTGGCAAGTGTGAGCCAAAATGTCCTTTTTTTATGGACACTCAGAGGCTGTACTGAGCAGGAAATGAATAGAAAGTCCATGACATTTGCCTGTTACTAATATTGCGTGTAGAGGGGGAGTGGGTAAGGACGAACATATGTTGATCGGATCCGGTTAGAAAACGGACTGAGAGAACAGTCCACAGACAGCATTCTGGGGTGTGAGATCATCTCAAATCCCACACCATTGTTCCACAATAGCCCAGGAGAACAGCTAATGTTCACTTAATAGAATCATATTTTGCTATCCAAAGCTAACGCTGCTATAAATAAATGTCTAAAAGCTAGCAACGTAAGAGATCACAGTGTCTCAATTATCACCCCCAGTGGTGTGTTTTAACCAACTGACCCCGTTTGATCCAACGTTGAGAACTTAAAGCTGTTTTGTAATGTTGCACCATCAGTACTGCCCACTCTGAATTTTGGTTAACAACTGAAAACCGAGGTCCTCTATATCCTACTCTGTTTTCCCGGCATAAATAACCTCACAAGCTTTGAGAGGGAAGTAAAACACACGCCAGTAGGTTTAAAAATCCACTCGAAGTCTTAGAAAGACACCAAATCACTTACTATAACTATAAATAACAAAGTCCACTATATTTTCTATTGAGAGGGTAAAATACAGTGTTGCTAAATCATTCCTTTTTATATTGAGGTGGACCGGAAAACACGGCTATTTGAAATATGTATTTTACACTGATGATTCGCTCATACTCAGCAGGTGCCAGGGATGCTGTGCTCTATTGTGAGACACCCTCTCTGCCCTTCAGGGATCCCCTCATGGAATGACCGGGCAACTTTGGCAGATAGTGCACTCAAGTCAGAGAAAGCCAGAGGTCCTGTCAAGCCAGCTGTCAGAGTTTCTGCCACAGCAAACCAGAAGGCAGACCCCTGGTTGACACCTGGACCATACTTCCCCATTGGTCTCATATGAAAGAGAAAAAGTAATGGTTCCTGGGATGTGACCTTAGGATGCCTTCCAACTCTCAAGATTATCCCTGTGGGTAATCTTCACCCTCGAGTGCTGTAACAGCAGACCGCGTAAGCGGCCTTAAGTGCAACTTTCTTTGCACTGTTTGGTAACGCCAAATAAATCATAATACACCTCTAGGAAGAACATCCTAGCCCCCAAGGCTTACAGAAAATTATAAGAACAGCACCAGCAAAACCATTTAGGTTAACATAACTCCACACAGAACACCACAACTGGTATCAGATAACCACCATCCGATGACCTGAGCTGAAAATGGAAGTGGGCCAACCAAGTCATGCAAGACAAAGCTACTTGAACTGACATCTAAAGTTTAGCTACAGACAGACCATCTTTAGACCATTGCTTCCGCTTAAATGCATCATTTTTCCTATTGCAAAAAATGATTATGTACCTTTAAGTGGCGTCTACTGATTCAAACATTAACAGCTAGGTTTTCATCATTTAAGCATATAGTAACAAAGCACTAATAATCAAACAGTATACTGTACTCATGGTTTATACACAAAACAGCTGAGAATATCCATTTTGGCTTTGCAATTCCACCACCACAACAGATTTTCAGAGGCTGTCTAGCACACAATCCCACAGTCAGCACACAATAAACTCAGAAATGTAGCCTACCTCACATTTGCATCAAGTTTGTCCATTACAGGAAATGGGCATGAGTGTGCTGGATGTCAGTGCCCACAGGATCCTGCAAGGAAAATAAGATGTTAGGCAGGAAGGCAACGTGGAAAAATAAAGGTCTTCATTACAGGAAGAAAATGCCAAGCAAGTATTGCTTTCTATTGATTGGGATTTTCATTTTGTAGAATGATTTAATAACCAGTGCTATATCAAAGAACTACCAGCACACTGAGGTGGGGGGGGGGGCATGAGGCACTTTTGCTGAATGCTACAGAAAGATTCTGTTCCACTGATCTCCCGGGATGAAAGCATACAGGTTACTTCTCTTCACTCTGTGCTAATCCACTTACTTGTTTTGCTTCATTCTTCCCAGAAACATAGCTTATTTCTATGATCTGCCTTAATACACTAACGAGTGAAAATGGTAACTGTGCTGCTATAATTAAAATAGTATGTGGTCTAAAATGGTCAAATATTTTTTTTTTTAACCTAAGAGGTCTTTCAGGTTTGTTACTTTTTATAAACAACAAAAGTTGGGTATTTGATAATCCAGTAAATACTAGCTTTCTGGCCAGAAACAGAAAATGTGTGCGTGCACAGGCAAATACACTTTCTAGGGAGTCCAGGAATCAGACTCTCTACGTCTGTCATCTGTCTGTCATCTCTGTGTGTGTTAATGCAGGCTCACATTCATGTATGTGCACATGCATGTGGAGGCCAGGGTTCGACGGTATGCAGCCTCCTCTATCACTCTGAACCTTGGGTTTTGAGATTCTCTCCCTGAACCCGAAGCTCCCCAGTTAGGCTAGACTGGCTAGCAAGAAAACATCCGGGATCCCCATCTCTGCCTTGCCCCAGCATTAGGCTCACAGACCAAGACTGGCTTTTACATGAGCGCCAGGGATCTGAACTCAGGTCCTCTTGCTACTGCAGCAAATGTTTTAGTGACTGAGCATTTCCCTAACCCCAGTCCAGTAATCTTGAGTCTAGATATTCAGGACTCCAAGGCTCACTTGTGGTTTCTAGTTTAAGTAATCCTAGCATCCGTGTAAAGAAAGTTAAATCTCTGATTACTGGGAGATCCTTGGATGGAGGCTTTCAGAAGCCCCTACACAACTATCGCTTAACCAAGTTAGCTCTGTTAACCTCCTATGCGAAAGAACCTTTAAGGTTCGCCTCCTATTTGTTCCACCACACGTTCAACTAGAGGATGCAAGGGGCAGAGCCCAGCTGCCTCTCCAGGTTACCCTGGGCAAGCGACCTTTCCTTCCAGGCACCATCATCATTCACGTCTCAGAGCACGGGAAAGATCATAAGAGAGCACCGCTGGGTTAGCTTCCAGCTCTGGTAGTCTGTAATTCCATCTGTGGCTTTTCTAATTGAATCTCACCAAGAAAAAAAATCTCCAGGTTTGTTTATCCACATAAGAGAACCATGAAATTCAACCTAAGCCTTTAGATGCCTTGGGTAGCATCAGGAAGAAAATGGTCAACCGTGAGGGGAGGGGAGGACATAGGACAGGCCTTCTGCTTTTAGTATTTATTAGAATTTCTAACACAGACCCAGAATTTTTAGGGTTGTGGCAAGGGAAGGGAAGGCCCCACCTGCAGGATCCTAGGGCCTCAAACCCACAAATACACACACAGCCTGAACCAACATCTCTCTGCCCACCACTACCTTCCATTTTGAAGTCAAGCCAAGTAATATTTTATTTGAAATATACAAGTGCAAAGCCCTTACTATTGAGTAGCAGGGTCCCTCCTTTTTGTAAAACCATTCCTGGAGTGATCATATCTGTTCAGGTGGCATGTGTGTGTGTGTGTGTGTGTGTGTAAGGTTCACTATAGGCACCCGAAGTTGATCTTTATTGCGGGCTTCTCCCAGATCCTCATTGCTCACCTGACATCTCATGAAGGACGATTAAAAAGCATTTCCAGTTGAACTCATCACTCCACCATTAAACTCAGTTACTCACAAGGAATTTATTTTCCTCCATCCTACAGCCAAACTGTCTGTTCTGACCACTTGAAAATATCATTTTCATTCCTCTTTTCCCCCTTGCTCAAAACCAGTATCACATTACCTGAAGTCTCCACCTCTCTCCCTAGACCACGACACTCTTGATTTGGTTTCCTGATTGACAGTCACTGTCACTTCCTCTCCCCTCTAGCATGTCAGTAATTTAAAAATATAAATCATGAGTTGGACGGTGGTAGCACGTGCCTTTAACCCCAGCACTAGGCCAGCAGAGGAAGGCAGATCTATGTGAGTTTGAGGCCAGCCTGTTCTACAGAGAGAATGCCAGCATAGGCTACAAAGCTACAGAGAGAAAGCCCTGTCTCTTAAAAAAAAATGCAAGTCTTACAATTTATTGTATACATATATTATAGTAGTGTGGTGGTTTAAAACGACCACTATAGACTCATATGTTTGACTGCTTGGTTCCCACTTAGTGGAACTATTTGGGAAGGGTTAAGAGCTGTCACCTTGTTAGAAAGCGTGTGTTACTGGGGATAGGCTTTGAGTTTTCAAAAGCCCACACCAGGCCCCATCTCTCTTATTTCTCTCTGCCTGAAACGTATTGATCAGATGTGAGCTCTCAGCTACTGCTCCAGTGCCGAGCTTGCCTAGCCGCTACCACTGACGTTCATGGACTAACCCTCTGAAACTGTAAGCAAAGCCCCAGTTGAACTCTTTCTGGTATAAGTTGCCTTGGTAATGGTGTCTCCTCACAGCAGTAGAAAAGAAACTAAGCTAAGTAGCTTCCAATCACTCACAGCAAAATCCAAACTGGTCGTCATAGCTAATCAGACCATACACACATACCATCTGGCTTGAGATTCCCTGCAAACTCAGCTCGTCCAGGAGCACGTCTTATTGAGCATGCACTCACAGCTGTGCCGGTTCTCTTGAACATCAAAAGTAGACACCCCTCCCCCCCCCCAAGAACTCTGCTTTGGTTTCCTCTTTGTGGATTCAACAAAAATTATTCTCTCACCTCAAATGTCACTTCCCCAGGAAGTCTTTTTTTTTTTTTTCAACATATAAAATCTCAGACCTCATTTCCGGAAAATTCCTGTCCTCTACGTTGTGTTGGTTACTTTCTGGTACATGCATTTCTTCTAGTCGACTGCCTTCTCATCTGCGTTCGGCTTCTGTCACTTCAGTGCAAATTTCCATAAGTCGTTATCTTAACCACTCTAAAATCCTCAAAGCCTAGAAAGGTTTCCCAGCACATTGCAGTCTCTCTGCAGACATGTCAGTCAAACTAAGTAATTCATTCATTTTGCAAATGAGGAAATTGAGTTTTGGCAGTCTGCAACTTTCTCATTGGGGTGTGGGGGGAAGATTTCACAGGAACATCCTTGAGTATAGCATTATAAGTAAAATGTAGCCAAAGTCAGGGTGGAGAGATGCTTAGCAGTTAAGGGCACAGGCTGCTCTTCCAGAGTCCTGGGTTCTGTTCCCAGAACTCACATGGCAACTCACAATTATCTGTAATATGTGTCTCAGGGGATCCAGTGCCCTCTTCTGGCTTCCACAGGTATAGTCACACACAAGGTGCATAAACATGTATGTAGGCAAGTAGTCATACACATAAAATAAAAGCAATTGCTTTAGTGGGTGAGTCCATTTCATTTTAATTAGCTGTGATTAACTATGTAGTTATGAATGCCAGACACTGTTTCTTTTTCCTCCCATCTCTGAATCTTTATCTCCAGCTCCAGGTCAGAGAGTTTAATTCACTTTCTAAGTTACACAGCTAACGCATGGCAAACCTGGGAACAGAACACAAAGCCATAAATTCCAGAACTCAAGGTTTATCTTGCATAGCCGTGATGATGATGAGACTATATGGGTATGATTTCTCTGACATCCCTAGGGGATGTAATCTCACAAAACTTCCTGTTTCTCTAGCTCTTAGAATCTTTCTGGACCCTCTTCCTCAATGAACTCTGGGTCTTGGGTGCAGGAGTTTTGTTGTAGATATATTCATGTGAACTAGCCACCCTAACGTTGCATCTTGATTAGCATGGGTTTTTTGTAAAGGTCTCCATCTGGTAAGAGAACTTTCCTTTATGATGGATGAGGTCTACACTTATCTGTGTAATAAATATTTAGATATATAATGAATAAATTAATTCAATAAATACTTAGATATAAATATTTAGAGAAATATTTAGAGTGTAGTTAGGGATTATGCTGGTTTAGTAAGCTGGTGGTTATAGGTTCCAACCCAGATGGGAAATTCTCATATATAAACTGTATATATACACAAATAAACTTACATGTATTAGAAGTACTAGGACTTTTGGTAGACAGTTCATATATGATTCTGTATGGCCTTTCCTACACACCCTTATTGTTATTTTACCCTCCTGACTCCTTCTTCTCTATTTACCTCACGGCCTCCTCTCTCATCCTGTCTCCCATTTTTACCAATTCCCCCCTTCAGATACCTGGCACCCTACTATTCCCCTAGCTATTGCTCTCTAGCCCCACCCCCACAATGGTGTTGTTTTACTTTTTCTGGTTTCAAAGTTTACTGCTTTAAGTCAGTTTGAGCTAGGGTTCTGCCACAACTCAAAGAATCCTTAATAATATTCAATAAATAAATAAATATTGCTCTGAGATGCTGATTAGAAGAAAAATCCGGGTAGCAAAAAAAATGATTGAAAGTTAAATAAAATTGAGTTTACATTTGAAAAATGTTATAATGCAAGGTGGAAACCACTTATGTTCATAACAATGTTCAGTGTTGCATTTTGCTCATTGAAAATTAAAAGTATGGCCATTATGCTAACCAGTGAGACAGTATCTATTCTGTTAAGGGGGAAGGACACCAAGGCAAATCAAGGATGAGTGATCAGCACCTATTCTAGTTTGACTAATCAATTACACGCCGTAGTATGTTGTGCTGTTTGCTGGGAAAATTTAGTCAAAGCTATGAGCACACTAGTATCTCTTATTCAGAGAATTTCACTCTGTGTGTGTGTGTGTGTGGTGTGTGGGTGTGTGATGAGTGTTTTTACTCACTACCCTTAGAATTCTGGCTTAATATACTTCAGA